CTTTATTTTGTTGAAATGATAGTTTATTGGATATAGAATTCCAGGTTGATTGTTATTTCCAATTAAAACCTTGAAGATATTCCTTTGCCTTCTGGCCTCTATTTAGCACATCTTTTGTAAATTTAAGGTTTTCTGTAAATTTAAAGATTTTCTTCTATCTTTCTGCTTCTGGGGTTCTGCAGTTTTATCACAGTATGTCGGGTATAGATTTAATTTAATTTTTCCTGTTTAGAACTCATAAAACTTCTATATTCTAAGGATTTATTTGAGAAGGGCACTCATGGAAGAGGAGAGGAGTGGCCTGAATCCCAGTGTGACTGGAGGGCATCCATGCAGAGGGGCAGCTGGCATGGGGTCTTAGAGCCTGCACATAGCGAGGAGGGTGACCACACAGTGGAGGGAGTTAGTGTGGGTGGCAGAGCCTGGATGGGATGAAGAGGCCATCTGCATGGAGGGTAGGGCTCAGAACAAGGTGTTCGAGCCCAAACTGGGTGAGGAAGGCATCTATGTAGGGGAAGTAGTGGTGACAGAGATGACAGACTGCCACACATAGGAAAACTGATTAAATCAGCAAATACATTAAAAACGATAGAAGCCAAATTTATCCTGTTAAAGGAGGGAGCTACAATATAGCCTGAGAGGAAACAAGAATGAACTCTGTAGTATTGTAATGGAAGTACTAGTATGAATTCATAGCTTTTAAAATGTAAAAATATAAGCAAATACAAATAAGTAAAACAAAATAAATATAAAACTTTTCAAAGATGCAAACATTTAATGTATATGTGTATATATTTTTAATTTTACATATTTGTATTTTTATGCCTCTGTATGTGTATGTACGTATATATATATATCCTCTTTTTGAAGGAGACAGAGAGCAGTAACACTCCCAACAATGAGCATATCTAGTGTCCAGGTCTTGCTTCTAAATACCATTCTTATCCAAAAGGAACCAGGGCTCCTTGGAGAAATGGCTAATTCCAGGACTGAGGAACAGGAAGGACAAGATGAGCCTGAAGCAGCATCTCATTGTACCAGAAAGCAAGGAAGTGCTCAATGAAGGATGGGAAGCATATCAAAAGGATGCAGAAGTAAGCCTGAAGAGAATCTCAATGGTCAAAGCTGGAACAACTTGAACATTAAAATAAATAATAATACTAACAGATCTGTTGAAAATACTAACAGATCTGTTGATAAAACAGGAAACCGTGAGTTCATCCTGATACAATTAAATAAATACCTAAATTTAAAGTTTGATAAGGAACAAAATATTTACAGTTTTAATATACCTTCACACAAAAGCAATACCAAAGGAAAAATAGTAACTTCAAAGGGAAGAAGTCTGGTAGACACCACCTTAATTAAATGATTATGTAATTAATGTTATCATTAATGAGGCAAAGCAAAATCATACAATGAGAGAATACATGCAACATTTATGTGATATTCCTGATAATGATGTATAATCTGAATCAAGCTATAAGGAAACGCAAACAAATCCAAACACTGATATTCTACAAAATAACTGTAATATTCAAAGGAATGAAATCACTGAAAATCAAGAAAAGAATGTGATTGTTTCAGATTGAAGGAGACATGACAACTATTTAACTGTGATTCGGAACTTTTTGTAACCAAGAACATTATCAGGGAAAAGGCAAAATTTGATGGTGTCTAGGAATTAGATGGTAGTAATGTAGCAATGTTAATTTTCCGATTTCGATGGTCATTTGGTGGTTAAGTTGGAGAATGTTCTCATGTCTGTGGGGGAATGCCATCATTTCAATAACTTATCCTCAAATAGTTCAGAAACAAAACTTTCTTCCTACTGCATTTACAATTCTTCTGTAAGTTTGTGACTGTTTCAAGCTAAAATAATAGGTTTAGCCAAACACTAAAATGATCATTTATAGAGAAGTTAATGGGGGATAAGGGGGCGGTGGGAAGGCGTTGTCAAACATTACATAAAACTTTTTTCACATGCAATAGGAAAACATAGTTACTTAGGGAGTTGAAAAAAATTTTTAAATAAGAAAAACACAAACTCATGCATCCTTCACAAATTCTTGTTTAGAAACTCCAAGAATGCTGGCATTCCTCTGATTTGTTAAGTAAAGTTTAAAAGAAGAACTACCATACTTATCCTATGACAACCCTTTCTTAGAGACACATTATTAAAAGACTATTCTGAAAATCTTACACAAACCCACCAAACATGCAGAGCTGAATTATTTCGAGACTAACTCACCCAAACTCAGCTCCTCCTTTCAATTTGCATCCCATCTATGCCCCATCTTGAGAAGTCTGTCAGATATTAATACAGTTAGGGGATTTACATTTTCCAGAACAGCATCAGTTATTTGTAAAATAAACTTACCTATTCAGTCAAATAAGAATAATACTGCTTCTCTTGGATATTAATAAATGATAAATTATTTTCAGCTTTAAAGCCTTGTAGAGACTATACTCCCGCTACATGTCATTTAACTAAAAATACATCAGAGAATGTGACTGAAACATTTTTTAAAATTTTTTATCCCTATAAAATAGAGTAGCCTTTTGAGAGCCAACTTTACATTCTAGATGCATTAATAAAATGTCAAGTACCAAGAAAGAGAAAGTATGGCCTAAAAAGAAATCCAGCTCAGCCGAAAATGAAAAAGCAGCAGCAGCATTACCTCAAAAAGGAAACAATTTCTTGACATGGGGTGAAGAAGATGATACTGACGTATAATGGACAAAGCAGGAACTAGCATAATTTGCATAATGACCATAAATCAGAAAGTAACAGTTTTAAATCTCCTGGTTGAAAAGCAACAGTTATACACTGATACAGAAAAATAAAGAAAAACAGAGTACTTCTAATTACAAGCCTTTATAGGACAACTTTAATTGCTCTGTTACAAAAGCACTCCATGTGACACTAGTCTCAGTATGAGGCTTTCAACAATAATATGGTGCTACAATTTGTCCTTTCAACTCCATTATTGCTTTGTTCAGGGATTGCTCAATTGTATTCCACAGATATCATTAGATCATATAATTTACTTTAAAAAGATTAAGACACAAGCTAGAAATTAGATAAGGAAAAGCAACAGACTTGAGCCCTAACAACCTTTGGCTGTTCAATCAAATTCCTGTTGAAAGGAAGAATTTTTATCACATATCAAAAATATTCAAAATAATGCAGCTCCAGGTCTGAAAACAATTCCAAAAATGTAGTTGTAATATTTTGCAGTCAATACAATTATTATTTACTTTTCTAAAGACAATATTTATTTTAGATACCTATGGTCTAATGTATATATAAACACATTAGAATATGTATACACACATTTATTTAAATTTGTGTGTATATTTATAGTTATGACTTTTCTATATCGCAGAAGTACCTGAAGATCTTAGCATGATAAAGGTGGCAGTTTCATTTTGGGAAACAAATAGTCACTGTATAAAGGATACACATCTGGATTTCTTTAGCAAGCACACATTTCGAGCTATTACACATTGTTTGGTAGTCATGGAAGTGACTGCTCCCCTGAGTAACGGAAGCTATACAGCTGTCCACAAAAGAAACGTCCAAACCTGTAGAGAGTTTTTACAAGTTTATTTGAGCCAAACTTACAACATATGCCAGGGGAGCAAGATGTCAAATGCTCCCGAAAGTAACAGTTTTGTCACTTCTTTTATGTAGCATGGAAGTGGGAGAAGCAAGGACAATTAAGCAAGAATTACAGGATAGTTAAGATTATGTGCTCTCCTGAGGGTGGTTATGGCTTATTTCAAAGGTGTGTTAACCTAGATGCACAGAAGCAATGGACAGGGCTTGTGTGAGACAAGATAAACCTTTTACTAAAGAAGTTATGTGCCTGGGATATGACTACCCACCATGACCTGCCCGGTTAGGAATTTAGATCACCCTGTGAGGTCACTTTCCACAGAATGCCTTTTTTCATCCACATAGCAGACCCCTTTTCCCTGGAGATTTGCATGTGCAGAAAATCATAAATAAAACTGCAGTATAAAATGCCTGAAAATATAGTCATTCAGTCAACAATGAATTCAACTATTATTTGCTGAGCACCTACTAAGTGCTGAGTAACCAGACTCTTACAAACTTCTGCCACCAATGTAGCCATATTTCTGTTTTCTAATTGTTAAAGGGAAGAAGCCTTTCTGTGTACCCGCTAAAGCCAACATATTTCTCCTGAGCTCTAGATTGCATATTCTCCTGCCACAATTGTAAACCTCACTTTCCTGACTATTTTCTTCAATCTGATCTTTCCTATCAGCCGGTAAACATGCTCAAGCCTCTCCTATCTTCTTTCCATCCCCGCCTCCTTTTCTATTCTTAGCTATGTGGACAAAAAGAGATTCTATGGAAGTGGAAGTAACCTCACAGGATGATCTGATCATAAATTGATAACATGGTGGGTGGTCATACCCCAGGCCTATAATTTCTTTAGTAAAAGGTTATCTTTGCCTTTAACAAGCCCTGTCTATTGTTCCTGTGCATCTAGGTTAACACACCTTTGAAATAAGCCGTAACCACCCTCAAGAGAGCATATAATCTTGTTAACTATCCTGTACTTTCTCTCACTTCCATGCTGCATAAAAGAAGCTACAACACTCTTATTCTTGGGAGCACTTGAGATCTTGCTCCTTGGAACATGTCAGTTTGACTCGAATTCTTTTAAAAATTCTCTACCAGTTTGGACGTTTCTTACATCAACAATGCTGGTAATAGTTTGTTTCTTGATCTGGGTTCTAATAATATGGATATGTTCACTTTGTGAAAATTCATTAAACTTATGGACAATGCACTCCCAATAAGTATGTAATTCTTCAAGTTTTTCAACTAAATCTGAACTGGACTCAAATTGAGATTTAAATTCCCCTTTGTGAGACTTCTTTACAATGGGCTTAGGACAAGAATAATGAGAGTAAGTATAACAGAGAGCTCTAGAAAAAGAAATAATTAGGAAGGAAAACTTTACATGGGAGGTTCTTTTCAGTAAGAACTCATGCCAATTTTTCTCTTCTAATCTAAGCCAACTATTGTCCAGAATTATCTCGAAGGAAGAGAACCGAGACTTCGGATGTCTAGCCAGATGTCTTCCAGAGAACCACATGGGGTAGCACAGTTGGCAACTCTGCTCAAGTCCTGCAAACCAATGAATAAAATGCTTTAAATTTATTACACCGCAGGCATATTTAATGACATAATTACAGTTTCTTTTAAAAATTCCTTGTAAAATACTATGTTCTACTCAAATATATGCAAAATAAAAGACTTCAACTGAAAGCCAGATGATTTAAAGTGGACTTCAACAGGTATTTCTTCACTCTGCCATTTCCAATGAGTTTATAATTATATATTTCATTTTCAACTCTTTCTGAAAATACACTGTATGTATTCTTAGCTTATGTCTGCCTCTTACCTCTGCTTTTTAACCTTACACCTTACTGCCCACATCACTGGTTCAGTCATTATTTTGGAGTATCAGCCTCATGGCCTGACATTCACTTGGCCACCACACCTCGACACGTAAGACATTGCAGATCAAAATTGGCCATAATAAAGACTCAAAGGGGGAAAAAAATAAAAACTAAAAAAAATCATCGCTACTCTCTCACCTCTGAAAATAACTATATAGCAGAACATATCTATGGTAAGATGCTCTTTTTGGTCTATTGGCATCCAAAAATTTTTTTTAGGGGGAAAAAAGAAAACTGACATGAAGATCTAATTAAACATAGAAAATATTTTTTTTAAAGGTGTTTCACTGAAATCACAATATGCAACCAATGTCAATTAACTCAACACATGGATCACAGAGTGACTAGGAGTCTAGGACCATATTTAGGAGTCACAGTAAGAAGAGATTGCTGTCTGCGCCTTTAAGAAGTCAGCCCTCTGGCTGTGAAGACAATAGAACCTCAGAGGAAAAAAAAAAAAGTGTAATTGGTTGCTAAGGAGGATCAGGCAGATTACAAGTTCAAATGTCAGAGGAGAAAAAAATTTATTAACTCTGTTGGAGGCCACTGCGTTGGGCCTTGAAGACAGAAATGTAAAGGAAGAAAGCATGGGGCCGGTATCTGGGCAGATCAGCAGAGCCAAGAGAAGGGAAGCAGGCATTTGTACAAGGACGGACTGTAGAACAGAACTCTGATGGCTCTGATGCAGGAAAGGATGAAATAAAGGAGTAAAGAAAAACAGTAGTTTTTAACAATAAAAACTATTTACAGTACGGTAAAAGCTCATTAGATTTGTTTCATTTGAATTTAGCAAGATTCAGTTAAAGTTATTTAAATGTGATGTAAGATTAAAGGGCTTGTAAAGGAAAGAATGGAAAAAACAAAGACAAATTCTCTCAGAAACTACTTAATGTAAGGAGAGAGAGCACAGGGAAGCAGGCTCCCTCAGGTTTTTATCCTGTTGGTTCTCTCATACCTGACGCTAGCTATGTGCTCTTGGGGAAATCCCATAAGCTCTTCCAGTGTCTGTTCAAGCATATAATTAAGAAGTTGAATTAGATAAGTGGCTCCAAATGTTTTTTTAAATGTGAAACCCTTGAGTGTCCAAATATATTTCTCCATAGGAAGAATGAATAAAAGACACATGAGAAGCTGCTCTGGAAGACCACAGCCCCAGTGACCACCCTGCAACTCCCCTTACCCATCCCGCTGCTTCCCCTCCCTGTGATAGGTAACCCCAAGGATATCTTCCAAACCTCCAGCGCCCTCTGGAAGACCAGTTATAAATTCCTGGACATGATTCCAAAACCTTGCCAAGTTTACGATTGAGGGGGAGAGGTGAGGAAGGGTTCCTCTTATTAAATACAATTATGATCAATAGTAATGAGAGGAAACACGCTAAATAATACAAACATACCTTAGACATTTTAATTTTAAAACTAATAAATGTTTATTAATAGGCTAATATTTTATTTTAAGGTTTAAATCTTATTTTTGAGAGGAAACCCATTGATTGGTATTCTGCAAACACCGTATCCATAAGGTGTCACTTAACATCTCCCAGTTTGTTTCTTTAGAGAAAGACCTTTAAGACACTTGAGAAGCAATCTGGGTTCATAATTTTTCTAGATTTTCATGATTTTTGTTCCTGGACTTGTACTGTTGGCTTGCCCATATCTAATTCAACAAATTTGAGTAATTCATTTATCAAATTATCTACAGCATTTCACTTAATTTTCATAGATAACTCCTATTCACCTTTCTATGGTTTAAACACTATTTAAAGTATGTAATTAGAACAAATATAACTAATATAAACGTGCTTTGGAACTAACACTTGAATCCTGGAAATCGATAATTAGATTGACATGAACGGCCTCAAGAATTCAGCATGCTTGAATGTTTTACAGGTGGAAGGAAGAAGTTTAAGTGGAATTTGGTCAAAAGAAACTTGACTAAATGGATGATAGAGAACATTTTTCCTGTACATAATTCTATGTAACTTAAGCATTTTAGAGGCCGCTGTTTATACGTAACTTTGTGTTGGACATTATTTCATTAATCGAATTCCTAAAGTACTGGGTTTTCAAGATTCTCTACTTGTCAACACTTTATTAACTTAGTAAACATCATTGTATACACTTAAAAACAATTACATGTAAAAGTCTGTGGTGGGCAGCTTCCAAAATGGCCCCTAATAATCCACACCTCCTAGTATTCACAGCCTTGTGGAACACCCCCCACACTGAATTAGGGTTCACCTGTGTGGCTAACATACCAGGGAAGTGAGAGTGTGTGACTTGTGAGGCTAGGTCATAAAAGGCACTGTAGCTTCAGGTTGGCCTCTTGGGTCACTCTCTCGATATTCTCCCACGTGAAAAGGAACTAAGCCACCAGCCGGCAGCCAGCCATGTGCACCCGTGGATAACTGCAGCTCTAGCCAGCACCTGCAGCCTCATAAGAGACAGGGAGCTAGAACCGCCTAGCCAAGCTGCTCCTCAATTCCTACCCCACAGAAACTGTGGAAATTAACACATTCTTATTGTTATTTTAAGTCGGACAGTTTTACGGGGATTTGTTATTCAATAATTCAGACTTCTCATTGTTTTAGGTTAGGCTTCTCCAATTTAAAAAAGCAAGAATTTAGTTAATTCATACTCTAAAGCTAGGGGTCAGCAAACTATGATCCATGAGCTAAGAATGTTTTTTTACATTTTTAAAAGGTTAAAAGTGTGCTGACCTCTGATTTAAACGAACTCCAATAATAGAACGAGATGTTGCTTCAACTTTGTCCATTGATGACATTTATTTAAGGTCAGAAGAGTGGAAGACTTAGGGGAGGCTTCTCTCCCCAAAGGCTGAGATTCAGATGCCTTTGCAGAGGGTGTGGCTATTGGTTACATGAGAAACATGCACCTGCCGGTGGCACAGAAACTGCAGGTCAGCCCCAGCCGGAGCTGGGCTGTAGAAGGGGCCTACTGTTTGTCAGGGGTGTGAGATAGTCTGGAGGCCAGCTCTCTCAGTGGGAAGAATGCAAGCTAGGATACAGCTGGAGTTATTTCAGAAACAGCCAGCAGGAGGAGAGAGAAAGGCTTGAGAGTGTTGCTTAACTTGGGGTGTGAGGACCACTGGGTTTTTGTGCTGGAGAAAGGAGAACCAGAAGCGGGAAGGGAAGTACTTTCTGCTGCTAACACCTGTCGTATATCCCCAGTTCCTCTACTGACAAAGCCTAACACTGCACCAGCGGGAAAAATGGAAATGTTGACAGGGTCCATTTCCAATAACACAGAGCAAAGAAGAGTAGATCTGGAGCTGAGATGTAATAAATTAATAACTGACACTATGCTTCTTTTTATCTCATCCATTTGGTCCTGCACTTTTAAAGAAAAGTACGTAAGCATGTGTTGTGTTCAAATGATGATATTCAATATCTGTCACTATGTTTAGTAAACATACCACGGACACCCAATTTAATTCTACTATGTAACTTATTTTCTGAATAAAAAAGACCTGTAGTGAGTTGAAGGAGTTTCACATTCCTATCTAGTTATCCAATATTGGAAAAAAAACAAAAAAGGAAGTGTGATAGATGAAAAACAAATTCCTAAGTCCCAAAGTATAAAAGACTGGGTAATAGTCGTAAACTAGAAACGTGTATTCATCTTAAAAAATCACAAATCAAGTGCCTGTGTATAGTGTGGTGGTAAACACTATGTCAGAGTTTTACAGACTGGATGTGCACTCAGTTACTTACTTAGCAGGAATTATTTATACAACATGCTTCCTGTAAAAGAACATCTTCTATGGCAAATTATACCACCTTAGTCGCCACTGTGATGCCACTGACCACTATCGAGATTGAATATTTAGGCAGGAAAGAAAGAAGAGAACAAGCTATTACATAACGAATTAAAATAAATTTTATATGCTCTGAAATCCGTGAAATGGTGAAGCTCAGTAACTCTTTGAATAGCAATTTAGCTCATTGAACAGGAAAGGAAGTTCATATAATGCAGCTGAAGATTATATCTTCCGACTGAAAATAGTCTTGAAGAAGAAAGTTTTTAGAAGATTCTTTTTTAATCTGATAAAAAAGAAGCATGTTCCTCAAATCAAATTTCTAGTAAAGTTTCAACTGGAGAAAAGGTCTACCTTAAGTTCTTAATAGTTCTCAAGAGGAGAGACTGGATTTTAATTTAGGGAGATCAAGAAGGAAACTGGATCCAAGTTTCTCTGAGACTCTACCAAATAGTACCCACGAATAATTTTCTAGCAACGAGTTCCAAACTGTTGCTCCAAGTATTTCCTTTGTTGGCTCTATGCCTTTGCCTTGAGTTTCCTCTGCCGTGAATGCCCTCTTCCTAGACTGTACTCTATTACAATTCTACCCATGAAAACCAAACAAGGGTGCAAAGGTCAGAGCCAGACTGCTTGTAGGACCCAGGCCAAAGTTCTTAACCCTCCTGAACCTCACCTTCCCACTCCCTCTCCCTCAAGAAAACCCCAATTTAGCAGAAGAGTAGAAATTATTTTCCCTCTCATACCAGCCCCTCCAGATTCTTCCCCATCTCAGTAAATGGTCCCGCCATCTACTCGGCTGCTCCTTTAAAATCAAGGCGTCATTTCATTTCTTCATTCCTCTTTCTTTTCACACATACAATCCCTCAGCAAGTGCTACCA